GGATCCTCGCTTGAAATATGATAGGCACTGCAGGAGGGGTGTGCTAGATTCTGCCCATTTTGTAGCTTTTGTAAAAGGTGTAGTGCACTTGAATAGCTGGGACTCTGCAGGATGGGCTGGAAAGTAGTGGTAAAGACCTGCTCCGCTGCTTTCAGGGCCCATCAGGATCCCTTGTCAGCAGAGAAATGAACTTCCTGAAGCAGCTGGAGTGAAGCCAGGCTCGAGGTCCTTGTTGCTAACTCATGGGCTTATAAACCAGGCCGGTTCTTGTTGTTTTTTTTTTTTCATTTAAGGCATGCCTAGACAGAGGAGTCATGGCACCAGGTACTGTAGAGAAAAGTAGTAGTAAGTTGGAGTCTGCTCAGAGAATCTATGGTCTAGTTACAGCAGGCAGGCAAAGGTTGAGAGAAGGGAAGCGTTGTTCTTCCCTGACTTTGTTATTAGCTGACCTGATTCCATGATAGAAACCTCAGTTACTTAACGCTTAAAAGGACAGTGACCTCATGAAAGTCACAGGGTCTGATCCTCCGTCGTGGTGTACACTCTCATGCCAGTGCCTACCTGCAAGGCTGTATAGAATTGCACCAGCCTCACGTCGCTGTCCCAGGACGCACGGGGCTGGCGGTGCTTTCAGAGTGCTCACCTCCCCCTTCACGCTGCGCTTCTGCTGCTCCGAGCCTGCTGTTTAGTTTCAGTCCTACCCTTTTTCACCAAAAAAGAGCCTCTAACTCCTGCTAGACATATACCCCTCTTATGCAGCCTTGCAGAAGATTGTAATAGCATGGGTTGTTCTTTTCCAAGCCGGGGAGCTTTTGTGAGTCAGCCAGAACTGGGTTATTTTAGTGTCCTCAGGCTGGAATGTAAATGCAAAGCCTGCATGTATGCCAGCAGTGTCACCGGCCTGTCTGTCCCAGACATCTGGGATTTCACCTGTGGTCCTGCACTGAGGGGCTGCATGCTTTTTGCAGTGTGCTGACAACTTTATTCTCTATTTCCAGTTGTGCTGCTTTCATTATGATTTGCCTTCCTTGGCCAGCAGTTGTTCATGTCTGCTCCTTGATTTTTTTTTTTGCCCCAACATCTTTGAAATCTATGCGTATGCTGATGGTTTTGTGTCATTAATATCAATCTAGACAAGTCTGTGTGACCTTTCACTCCTATGTCCAAAGGGAAGAATCGACCCTTGCAGTCAGTCACAGCACAGCACTGACTCATACATACTTTTCATAAAAATAATGCAGAAATTCCCCATAGTTTTTACAGATATTTTTTCAGGAGATGAAGTGTAAGTATTCCATAGCAACACAGCTTGGGAAAATTAGGAAGCATGTAACATCAGATAATTAATCTTTCTGACATATGATACACTTTTTACTATTAATGTTGTCTGTTTATTTTTTTTCCTTTCTTGTATCTCACTTGCTCAAACTCAGCCTATCATCTGTTGGAGTTTCATTTGCACTCATGTGCTCTCCAGTCTTATTCCCTCCCTTGTCTGTTCTCCAGCTCCATTGTAAATCTCCTGGGAGAGGGCTGGGATTTGTCCCACCTCCGTGACTCCACAGTGATGAGCAAAATAGGACCACATTTTCACTTTGTTGCCCCAATTCTAATAATACTTTCTGGTTTTCCTGCATAAGATAAAATATGCTGTGTTTGGATACGTAACACTGAAAACAAATAAAAAATATCTCTAAAGCTCCTTAAAATAATTAACTGAGATTGGTAATGAGTCAAAGTCACTCCAGTGAAGACTAACAGTAAAATAAAACAACCAACCAACCAACCACCCATAAGTAATTGCAGGGAATCTGTTTTCCACTGAGACAGGACTTTCATAAGAAAATATTGTTTCTTTACTTTCCTATATTTGATTATTTGTCAATTAAAAAAAAAAAAAACATTTATAATTGAAATCAGGGCAAGCCCTCAAGGTCCCAGTATCTGAATACCTTCCCAGTGAATACTTAGGGGCTGGGGTTTTTGATCATACTTGCTGTGGAGCCAAGGCAAGCTTTCTTTAACTATGAAGGTGACTAAATGCTTCTCCTAAGTGATTATTTTTCTTTAAGGCAAAAGATGCATATTTAAAATCTTTAAAATAAATGTAATGAAACAGCTAGACTACAAGATTGTGTCAAGAGTGAATTTGACCCATTAACTTGGTAGCTTCTCTGCCATTAGGATCTTAAAATTGCTTTTCTCCCTCTTAGAAAAATTTGAAGTTTAACCTTACACCCTACATGACGGTGTCATTTAAAGCCAAATATTTAACGTTCTAAGTTTTATAGTTATTTTCAGTCTTAGAAGAAGGTGGAAACTGAGGTAATCTCCAGCTAGATCCTATATCTGGGCTGCTGTGAAGTATTGTTTTTGTTAATACAGGTGCTTTGTGGTGTGCATATTCTAATAAATGGAGTAATTTTTGGCATAAAGAAAACCTATGCAGTGGTCGCAGTTTGTTGTCACACAGCTGTGCTTTTCCTTCCAGTAAACTCATTGGAGTTAGTGAGCATCCCTGGCATAATACAGGGGGAATCTGACATAGTTTTGTGCAAGCTCAAGTGTTTGTGGAAAGAGCTGTTAATCTTTGATCAACTGGAGTCTCCTTGTTACTGACTTTGATTACACAAGTGTACAACTTTAATTACAGCTTTTAATAAGCTTTCATTTCTTCCTAGTCGCATTCTTTGTATAGTAGTGCAGCTTATCTTTTCCTTTCTCCTCCGCAGCCCTTCCCTCCCCCCTTGCCTTTTTATGGAAAAAGGGGTTTGTGGTCATTGTAGGGGATTCAGTATCCAGAGGGATCCTACTGTATGCGCTTTGCCCATGGCTCTGCCCTCTGCTTCCTTTTACAGTCTAGAGAGCTCTCTCCTTCAGCTGCCCTGCAAAGATCCCTTCACCGGCTGCTGCCCAGGACCTGGTGGTCAGCGTGCAGGGAACAGGGCTGTGAGGCACCACATTCACGCAGACATTCACTGCTGCACCAAACTGCTGAACAACCCTTAGAAAGTCTCTGTAGCCAAAGGACGCACTGACTTCTGTGTGCAACTCCTGCTTGTGGAGGACTGCCCCCTTCTCTCCCTTGGGGACACTTTGAAATGCAGTGGCTGAAGTCAGAGTGGCAGAAAGCAGCAGGAAGCTGGTGGGCTCCAGCATCCAGCCACAGTGCTCGTTCCACATCCAGGGGCTTGGCATGCTGGATACCCACTGCTCATTAGAGAAATGACCTGGTGGAAGCTTTGTGAGAGACTTATGGACTTGTAATTGTAAATAATTGAGATATGGCTTAAAACAAGCATAGCGAAATGTTTTGGGTTTTTTTTTTTTTTTTCCCATGAATCATATTTCAGCTGTGGAACTCATCACCCCACAACATTTTAGGTACAAAAAAGTTAAGTGGATTGAAGAGTTGGTTGGATAAATTAATGGGAGAAAGATTCATCAAGGTCTATTAAACATAATATCCCCCACCATTGGGTAACCTGAGACTTGGGGAAGATAAGTTCTGATCATCAGGAGTGAGAAGGGGGAACTAGAGGCACCTCCCTCTGTATTTGCCCTGCTCTTGTGTTCTTCCCTGAGCCTCTGCTGTTGGCCCCTGTCAGCGTTGTCCCCTGTTGTCAACTGTTGTCCCCTATTGGTCCAGTACAACCCAGGGGAAAAGAGCATGGCTCTCATCTAGGTCATAATGTGCAACCGAGGAGTGGCTTAAAAGAAGTGAGTCAGAAAAAAGACACAGATGGTAAAACAAAGCAATTTGCACTGGTTTGACATTCAGAGGTGTGCAAAAGGAATATACTTTTAAAATGCCAATTGTGCCTACAGAAGAGGGTAGCAGGGAAAACAACTAATAGAACAGGAAAGGGAGCCTCTTTTATCTCTGTGCATGCATCCCTTTGGCTCCCTTGCTGTGCATGCTATACTCTTTTTGCACACTAATGAATATCAGAGTCAGAGCAAGTTATGCTATACATCATTCTACTCCTATTTTCTAATGAACTTACCCCTAATGGGTAACTTATTCATGTCACGACTGAATTTCACCTTGACAATAGATCAAGAATGAGGTTCAGCAGTGTGGCCCACCTACTTTGCAATGCTCCAGCATGACAGCTGCTTTGTGTCCTCAGGGCAGCTCTACTTTGATGCTTTTCCCTGTTTAGAAAAATTTGGAGGGAGGATTTTGGTAATCTCCAGCAGGGAGAGTTTTTAAACCTTTCTCAAGGGAAGATGAAGATTCTACAGGATTTTTGAACAAATAGTTATTTATGAAATAAGTGACATTGTCTTTAGAACTGTTCCTCCCACTGAGCTCCAGAGGAAAGCAGCATTTGCCATGCTGGATCTTACCGGTCATTGTTGTAGCCTGCTACTGTTGGTGCCTCAGGCTTGACTGTGGAAAACTCTGGAAGGGTTATGACAAAACATCTACTCTGACTGTTGCAGACATGGCCCTAGTTGTTAAGGGGTGTGTTTTCATGCCTCAGAAGCACACAATATGAGGACTATGTCCTTTGCTTTTATGGGCTTTCTGACACCAGAAATGCTAGAGTGAAGTTCTTCTAAACTTGGCTGGCTTTCTGGTTGCTCAAAATATACTGCAGGAGCTGCTGTAACATGGGATTGAAATGACTGGTTTGCCGAATTGGCTGGACAAACTATGGGGGAAGAGAAACAATAGAATGAGGTCACTGTGCTGTATATATTGCCTGACCCAGGGTCATGAGCCAGTGTGGTTGCATCATTTGCTCATTCAGTAGCTACACCACTACTGAAAAGATCTGTGTCCAGTTGCTGAGAGTCTGATCTTTTGGTGGCACTTTCTGCATGATCTGCTTCAGCAGTGTCTCGTGTCAGCAAGCTTTGCATGTGTTCAGGGAAAGTTTTTCTGCTTGTCCATTTTTAAACTAACCTTATGTCCCCCTTTTCCTAGTCTTGTTTGAGGGGGCAATGCAATCTTTCTTACTCTCTGCCCTGTCTCTTTTGGCAGACTTGGGGACCAGTTCTACAAAGAAGCAATTGAGCACTGTCGCAGCTACAACTCTCGGCTGTGTGCTGAGCGAAGCGTTCGCCTTCCCTTCCTGGATTCGCAAACTGGGGTAGCTCAAAACAACTGCTACATCTGGATGGAGAAGAGGCACAGGGGACCAGGTTGGTAGCACTGTGTCTGTATGCATGTGCATGTATGGAGGGCTGGCCACGGAGCCCTCATGGGGTTTAATTAATAGGAGCTCAAACCTGCTACAGGCCACACAGAAGAGAAGCTGCCTAAACCTCTGTGCCTGCAGGGGATTTCCTTCGGTAACTGCAGAGAGCTCATCCTAATTATTCTCTCTCTACCCAGAGAAGTGCCTGACATGGTAGTTTCTAAGGCTGCATCATTGTAGCCCTTTTAATGCTATTGATCCCAGTGTGTAGCAGAAGACACAATGCCCTGCTCTAAGCAGAACTGGAATTATCTTCAGGGTGGAGAGATGGAGGTGGAAGTTTCTCAGATGAATGCGGAAAATAAGGAATTATATTGCGAAGGATATAAAGCTGGGGTAAAATATAGGACAAGTTACTTGAATATCAGTTCTGGAGCTGCAGTTTACTCAGGTGCAGAAAGAAGTTGGTATATGTCCTTAAAAAGCTTTGACTAATGGCTGTTCCAAAGCTCAGTGAAGCTCAAGGTAAAAGAGCACTGTTATTTTTTAGACTTCGGTCAGTCTTTCCCTTGTTAGAGTAAATCCATCTGAAATCCTTGTTTGAAATGCAAAGGACTGTTACCAGTTCAAAGACTGGAGATGTTACTTCGACAGAAGTTCTCCTGAACCCCAGTGGGAATTTTGCTAGAGTATGTCTCAGTATCTGACCCACCATTAGCTCAGGGGACAGGTGTTTTGGCAGCATCAAACTGGGTTTCTGGTTTTGGGTTTGTTTTTTTTTCAGTGCAGACCAGAGAATTCAGGCAGGGAGGGGGCTAGGGTGCACAGGCACCAGAAGCACAACATGCACACATGTGCATAAACACATGCCAGTTACTGTAAACCATGCTGAAAAATCCCATAAAACTCCAGATCTGGAATTATGGAAAGGTGCAGCCTGCTCTTACCTCCTCCCCTGGCCAGTTTGCAGGAGGTGAAGTGGGAGGAACACATAGGATATTTCCCTGCTCTCCTGGGAGCAGACTAAGAAACCAATTGCCACCACTGAAGAATGCTTAGCTGAAATTATCCCTCTCTCTTTCCTAGGATATACTCAGGGAAGGATCCTTGCACTGCTCCTGTTCCTAAAATATCCAAAGTAGATTTAGTATTTTCTTGCAGTACTATCAGAAAACTCACTCTGTAGTAAAATGCAGCCACTTCTGGTACAGGAGACAACAGGTGTTTTATCAGTGTTAAAAATACCCTGAGAATGTTTCAGCTGCCAAAACTACTGGGGTAATCTGGGACTGCTGAATGTGGTTTACAAGCTGGGAGTTGTCTGGGGTTCTGGGCTAACCCTTCTTTTGTAGGTTGCTTTATGACCACAGTTGCGTTTTTGTTTCAGCTGAAAATTCCCCATTCCTTAGAGATTATACTTTGGTAAAACTAGCTTTCCTTTTTTTTTTTTTTTTTTTTTTTCTTTTAGCTAATCCGTTTACCTAAAGAATTTCTGTTCTTGTAGCCTCTGGTTATGAGTAAGGTGCTGCTATTTTTATCCTTTGGAACGCAGTCATAAGCAGGTACACATCCACTATATCCACAAGTAATGTTTTGGCAAGAGCATCTGCTACAAAGATGGATGTAGGTAGTGTTGTATGGATCTCATTGGTGTCTCCACAATCACAGAAGACATCACTGTAACAGTCTTATGGCATCACACCAGGACCAAGAGGTCATAACACTTTGCCTTTCTCAGCCACAAGTTCTCTGGACTACCTTGAGCAAATTCACTGTGCACATCTTTCCTCACTTCTGATAGCAAACTCTTTGGCAGGTTACCCTGTAAAAGAGGATCAGTGGCATTCTCTTGCAGGGCTGCAGGGGGTACTAATGGTGGAACATTCTTCACAGAGAGTCTTAAGTGAAACAAGCCTCCTGCATCTGCATCAGCCACCAAATCTGGTGCCTTTGTTATTCTGAATTAGAATAATCAGTGTGAAATGAAGCAGCCCTCCTCCCCCATATTTGCTCTCTTCTTTCTTGATTTTTATTAGCCTGTTTAGTGCTCCCTTGGGTGTCTTTGCATCATCTATTTCTTGTAGTAGTATGGTGGGTCAAAGCATCCCTCCAACAGTTTTAGCATGCCTGTTTTAAGGCTGTACACAATGCACTTATGCCCATACTGGAGGTCTCTGAAAATTCTCTGCCAACCAGCCTGGTTTCTGTCATGTGTGCTGTGTTCACTGCCATTTACTATCCCTAACCTGAAGAACTGTATAAAGACAAATGGCAAAGCTTCAGGACCTCTTTTCACTCACAGAGGGCTTGAAAAACAGAGAGGAGAGTCAGGATCTCAGCATATTAACCTGGTTTCTTGCTGTCGTCTTTGTTAAAGGAGTCAGAAAAATGCATCTCATGATAAACAGTTCAGGGTTAATTTCACACAATACTGCACATAACTCCCTCCTTTTCCCCTCCTCCCCCGGCCTTTCACACGAGCTTTGAGTTATGGCTCTCCTACACTAATGAGATAAACAACATAACTCACTGCAGGTTCTGCTATTTCCTCTATAAGCAAATGGTTGGAACTTTCTCTGGTTGCCCTATAAGGCACCAGAGGGAGAGCCAACCGAGCCAGGACTGAAGACAGTAAGACCTGTATATGCATTATTTCCATATGCACTGCAAGGTCAACTGTGGAGGGGCTAGATTCAAAGTTCAGAATTGATCCTTTCCTTGTTCCTCCTTTGTGTAAACCAAAGATCCACACTTCATGTGAGCCAGCGCAGTGACAGATGGGGATCAGGGTGGAGAACTGAAGGTAGCATTTGATGGGTTTGGATCAAGTGAAGGTGTGGTGTACATTTTAAGTTCATTGGATGGCTGCATATTAATGAACAAGGGTGTTGTGAATAGGAACAGAGAGCTTACCTCAAGGGGTGCAGAGGTGGATGTTGGATCATCCATCTCTTATTGATCTATCTGCTGGCTGGAGTGGGCTGTAGGTCCTCTAGGGAAGAGGCTTTTCGAGCTCTCTCTTTTCAAGGATACCTACTTTGTTTCTTGTTGGGCTTTCAGTCTTTGTTTTTGGCTTTCACTGACCTGGCTGAATCCAGAACTGCTAATCATATAAGAGCACTCAATAATTGAACCCACATTAACAGATACTCCCCCAAAACTGCAGCAGATCCTTGCTCCTGTCCGTCTGGGACAAAAGCTCAAAGCTGTGGTGCTTATTTCATTCAAATGACTCCTCTTTGGAGGCCTGTCCAATGAAGGGCTGATTCTCTGTCCTATTGCTTTGCTCTACTAACTGCCATTGCCATTTCAATGTTGTGAGCAAGTTCTTGCACAGGACCTGCTGTGAGAGGGTGAGGCTTCTTGCCTCCACCTCTTTAATGACTCACATCAGAGCCAGGCACAAACCACCTCATCATAATAGCAATTGTTTGCAGTGGCTAATGTTTGCAAAGTGCCCTGAAGAAGTGTGTCCAAATACTGCAGAAGTGCTAGATATTCACATTTTTATTCACAAACCACTCCCAAGTGCCCCATTCTGAAATGTGTCCTTCTTGGGGTGGGCATAATTCCCAGCAAGCTGTGCAGCAATGAAAGAAAGGTGTGAAAAGCCCCAGTTCAGTAGCACTCTGTGCCCTGGAACAGCCAGGATCTCTGTGAATACTCCATCACTCGGCCATACCCAGGCAGTGTGCTGTAGATGCTCTGTTTATGCACCAAGGCCTTGGAAGTTGGTGGAGAGTGCTGGGATCTGAACTGGCATTCCCAACAGTTGAAATATTTCAAACCAGGAGCTTAGGCTTCACTTGCAGAATTTGATTAGTCCATTCCGTTGAGGTGAATAATTTTGTTGTGATGTTTTGTAGGGTTTTTTTCCCCCCCCAAGTAACAGGATTTTTTTTTTCTTTTTTTTTCTCTTTTCATTAGCCTCATTTGGTTCAGTGAGTCAGTTTAGTTCCCAAGCTGGTATACTGTCCTGGCTGCTTTGGAAGGGATGGCTGAGAACTCAGGCCATCCCGCTGCCCTTGAGCTGTTCTGCTTTACTGGCACCACCTCGATGTTGTCCAGCAGTTCACTATTGGTACAGTGTCAGAGATGGTACCACCACTCCTGTTCTCTCCTATATGGTCTTACCTGTTTTATAAGGGCAATGAGTCTGGAATTGCAATTGCACTCTGTACCCCTTTCAAGACTAACAGCAACAGCAGGAGAATGGAAGAGCCAAAGCAGAACTGGTGGATGGAGGGGGCAGGGGAAGCAGGGGAGACAGTGGCATTCTTCCAACTTTTCTGTGTCTTGCTGGGTATTTCTGTGTGTCGTGAGTATCTGTGGCAGTTGAGGATACTTTGAAGCACTTGGCAGTGTGCTTCTGTGTCCCTAGTAGCAATGCACACACGAAGCCCTGCTGCATTCTGAATACAAGCAAGCAAAGCATAGCTTTAATGTTGGCTAAGGGGTGTCTGCCAGGAGAGCCAGGGCAGCTCAGAAGCCAGAAATGCCAAATATGATTCAATGGAGTAATATAAACATTACTGCTGTATCTCCTCCCTCATTCAGGATGTTAACATGAGGAGGTAATAATCAGAATGAAGAATCTGTCTTCAAACAAAAGTCCAGAATTTAAGCAAAAATACAGAGTCCGAATAGCCAGACCTCATGGATCTTGGTTTGCTCCCACTTGGAAGACACAAATTTCCTGAGTTGCTCTGTGCATCAGGGCCTTATGATTTGCGTGTCGGAACTTCATCTCTTGTCTCCCAAGGGGCCTTCTCTGCCTGTGGAGGAGGCATCACCCCTGCGACCCAGGAGAGTCTGAAATTCTATTTACCCTGAAGAAATCACAAATTATTTATGTGCAGCTCTGGTTTCAGTGAGCTGAGTGAAGTCTATAAGTGAGACCTAGATTCTCTGTAGGCCTGATCCCAAGAGGTGCTGAGGAGCCTCAGGAGCACTGGATGCCTTGAGTGCGTAGTTCTGCCTCACTATTTGCAGGATTGAACCGTCCAACAAGGAGACGCTGGAAGGGCAAGAACAAAGATGTTAGAGACAGTGCTTGTGGTATACAAACTGAAATATGATTACATTTATTTTTTGCCTTTAATCTTCAGGCCTGGCCCCAGGTCAGCTGTACACGTACCCAGCACGTTGCTGGCGCAAAAAGAGGCGTTTGCATCCCCCTGAGGATTCCAGGCTGAAACTGCTGGAAATTAAACCTGGTGAGTATTTGTTTGCCTCTCTCTCTCTCTCCTGTGCTGCAGAGCAGCTGGCATACATGCAAACCTGGCATTTAGACCTTGGACTTTATCTTTGCCCCTCTCCAACCATTTCTCTTTGCATCTGTTGTATCTTACTCGATTTGTTGTAACCATAACCACCCAAACCTCTGCACTCAACTGTCCCTTGCAGAAATGTGTACAACTTGTATTGAATGCAATGGGATCTGAATTTACCTTCCGTAGGGGTGAATCTGGGCCTCTATTAGCAAATTCATAAGGATGTAAAGGATCAATGCATTACTAATTATTGCCTCAGTGTGTTATTAATACAAAATCTCACTCTGGCATCTGCTGCCTAATCTTTGTGAAAAAGACTGCTGTTTGTGTGGAACAGTACACTGATAAGATTTTTTATAATGGGGCTGGGGACCATGGGTGTGACCAGATTATAAACAGCAAATAATAAAAATTAGTGAGCATATGCCACATCTGTATATGTGTGTATACCTGTATGTGTACTGTAGTCCATTCTTCTTTCATTCTTCTTGTCCTTGGTACGCTTCCCCCACAATTAAACTATATGAAGTGATGAGTCTGGATGCTGAATGAGTGACTGTAAAGTAGCTGCTTGCTGTCTTTGGGGGTCAGCTTTTATGAGAAAGAGGTAACACACGTACTCACAGCTGTATGTGGTTTTTCAGAGGCGAGACACTGCCAGTATAAAAAGTACAGGAGAAAACCCCCAAATGTAAATTAAGAATATTAAAAAAACCTGTTTGACAGAAGAAGGTGTCTGGGAACTGAGTTATGCTCAGCAGTACTGATGACTTTGCTTCTATGCAGTAGTTGGTGAAGAGACAGGAAGGGGCAATAGAGACAATTTCAAAACCCAGTAAAATCAGTGGCAAAATTCATGTTGATTTTGGCAGAAACAGTTTTTGAAGGTTCCCTACCTTCAATACAGGAGAAGTCAGCAGGCAGTTGGACAAGAAGAAGAAATGCCTGTAACCACTCAGTTGGAGTTCAAACCAAGGGCAAAATCTCAGCCAGCAAATAGAACGAGACATCACAGCAGAGCCAGTCAGAAAGAACTGGTTACAATGATGGAAATGAGACTGGACTCTAGGAAGAGGTTGATGCTGGCCCATAGAAATGTTTGCCTCAGACTTTGTGATGATGCAAACACGGCTGTGCCTTGGTAATTTAGTAAGGTAAAGCAGTGGTGGAGTTTGACTCTTCTTTGTTTGCATTATGCTTCTTTGCTGTACTCACTGAATGCCAAATTAGTGCATCCTACATGCCACAGGGCATGAAAGGCAATTACCACAAAGTTATCAGATAAAGAGACCTCAGCATGTCTGTCTCTGTGTTGTTTTCCCTGCTATAAACATCTCTTCTGCATCTCAGGAGTGCTACTTCTGTTGCATTGCCAGTGGCAGCCAAATAAGGCAATTTATATTGCTCTGCCATTTAAATCTATTTTCCAACAAATTTCTATCTAGTGATTAACTTTCCTTATCAGTTACATCACAAAATAATTTCACTCCGTCTGTGCATATCCAGAATAGACTCGCTAGCCAAAAATGGGATTTTTCCCATCTCCGATTTAAAAATATAAAACCTGTGGAAAACATTGGATCTCCATCTAAAGGTAGCTTTTGAAAATTTGAGAAAAAGATAGTGTAATTTATTTTCAACATGGGCAGAAGAAATACCGTACATTTTGGAGGGGGATGCTGTGGTAAAGCCTGATGCTGAACCTAGGAAGCTACCTTATGGTCACCTCTTTGTTCCTCACTTAAACACTAGATGACTGTGTGGGGCAGGCAAAGATGTGGCAGTTTAAGATCCCTTAAGAAGCACACAGATGACAACTGTAGGACACCTAAACTAAATTTGGAAGAAATCTAATCTAAATATTCCATACCTTCCCTCTACCTAGGGCTTGGACACCCTAGTCACGGCTTACGGCTGTTCTCAGCAGCTAGAGAGTGCTTGTGCTGGGTTACTATGCGAGTAGCTGATTTTTATATAGGAGGCTGTTGTGTTGGTTGTATGTTATATAACATATGCAAGCAATGCAATTCTACAACATCAAATTAGGGCTAAACTTTAGTTTTGTTATGTTCTACGTTTCTTAACTGTTTAGAAGTACTTCTAGTAAGACTGCCACTGTAACAAACACAGAAGGGGATCTTAGCTCCCAAAGTTGCCAATCCAGCAGCCAGTGGGATCAGCACCAAGGGGTGTGAATACTTGCTTGGACTGCACCTGGGTTTTTGGAGGGGCTTACTGTAGCGATAAGCTGTATCCAGAAGTTCAAGACTTCTACATAATTCAGGAGACACGTAGACCTAGGATTTTTGTTTCGGTAAGTCGTAGCTAGTCAGCAGCTGGTCAGTAAGTTGAATCAAACTATTACCTTGCTAGCAGTTCAAGGTTGTGATAAACCAATTGGTAATAATATAGCATTTATAGTTAAAACCTACTTTTGCAGTGTTGGTACCTTGCAGGTTTAGGTAGTGCATGAGACAGTTAACTGAGTGAGAGTTTCATATTTGGTAATACCAAAACCTCATGAAGAAAATAATCATGCTCCAATAGTCTCCTGTTTTTTGTAAAATGCAAGTGCACTATAATATTTTTCTTGGGGTCAGTTGCTGCTTGCTTCTTAATGGAACATGGTGTTTTTATTGTCCTGGTCTGTTGCTTTTATTTGGTTTCAAGTGGAAGTGTTTGTTTTTAAGAATAGTTGCAGCCAAAGATGTAAAGATCAGAACACTGGAATAGATGTTTCTGATGCAGCCTTTAGATGTCTATTTTCCTCTGCTGCTATACGCAGAGTTACGTGCATAGCTTGGTCTAGTAAAGTTGTTTGATCAAGGGTCTGGCAATGTTCATGTTAATACTATTTCTAAACATCCTCCATCTCATCCAGTAGCCTATCCAATAGATATACGATAGAAATAAAGTCTTGCCAAATCTTACTTACGGTAACTGCTTTGGTGACAATATAGTCAGTATTATTACCAGACCTTTAGGATTTATACTAAGTATTCCTGACATTTACTTTCACACAGGCTGGTCTTCATCTTTCGATGGTACATTCCTATCATCAGAACCAAGTTCAAGTGCAGCCAAGTTTTCAGCATTGTGATGGATATGAGCTGTTATACGAGTCATTATAGTGTAACAGTCAAGAGTCATATGAACGGTGGTATAGATGATTGGAAACAAACCCCCAGTCATGGGCAATATATTGACATGTTGCCAATACTGTGATTTTCTAGGTACAGATTGCTAAAGTTATTAGGTGTTGATACTCTCACAATATTCATGAAATGAGACTTCTGTTCAACCAAGTATGGGCAATCCTGATTCTCTGCAGAAGTGGGCAGTGGTATTTGCACGGCACTTCGGTGTGGAGCAGTGGGAAGGCTGGAAGCAGCCCGTGCTTCCACACTCACTCCTCAGCTGGCAGTTCTCCTCCTGTCCAGGAAAAGAGCAAGAGCAGAGCAGAGCTCCTGTGCATGGGAGGTCTGTGAGTGTGGGATGGGTGAGGGAGCGGGTTGGGCTGGGCTGGGTAGCCTGTTCTTCCAGAGGAATGGGACAAGGAGGAGAATTGCCAACTCTTCTACCACTGCCTGAACTGCAGGGGCCATGAAGGCAAACAGTAGGGTTCCAGCCCTCAGAAATATCGGAGCAGCTGGAAAGGTGAGGGTTAGAAATGGAAGAGAGATCCCCAGTTACACCCAAGGCCCCTTGAAATCTTAATCGCTCCTTGTCCTATATACGTAGTGGTTTTGTGGTACTGGGTGATATGATTCTGTGTTGGGTCAGGTATCAATATTGTGGAAGTGGTATTACCTACAGTAAACCCTGCTGACAGTCAGGTATTACCCAAGCTTTGCAGCTATGCAGATGAGAACAGATAGGGTGCGTACAGCCAAAAACTCTGGTGGAATTTAAACTAGTAGTGTCCTACTTCAGTTTTACAAGATGGCTAAATATAGACGTGTACATACATATACACAGAGCTTTTATTTCACATGCTATGTGAGTGTAACAAATATGACTGGAAAGCTTTTGTCTCAATTCAGTGCTGTCCTTTGGTTTTGGACTGAAAGCCAACAGTGAGGTCTCACAACGGGCAGCCTTCCCACCCGCTTGGAGGGTGTGGAGTAGAGTTTGTGTGTGCTGCTACTCTGGTAAGAACGAGCTGGTGTCCTGTGTTAATGTCTGTCCTGCTACTTATCTCTAGGCAGTCTACTGTTCAGCTGAACTACAGAAATGGCTTTTTTTTTATAACCAGCTGTTGAAGAGGTGAAAGTAAACAAGAGTATTTTTCATTTGCTATGACAAACCATGGTAGAATTGTTTGAGGCAAGTACTGCTAACAGATTTTTAGATGCCACTTAAACAATGCCTGATCTGGTTTTAATCTGACATATGGGATATAGTGTGCTTGTGGATGAATGAACAGAATCCTTACACATAAGCTATTATCTCTTTCAACCATCTCAATTTACCGTGTAGAGATGGTGTCTGATTGTACAAGATACTGTGTTTTTCCTGGGAAGTGGTGAGTGCCCCCAACTCTTGCGGAAGATGCTCAGCATGCCTCTGGAGATCATTGCTCTTTAAGATGGGGCACTTCAGCAAGATAAAGTTAAGATGAAATTAAAAAGCAAAAGATTAGCATTAGTATCATTTGTATGATAGCACCTAGAGACTCAAGCAGCGTGTTAGATCATCATAGGGGTCATTGTGAAGGCTTTTTATACTCCCTGCTATAGTCCTATATATACAAATATATATACACAAACACATAGCTATATCTCACAGAATCTCCTAGATTGGAAAAGACCTGTAAGATCACCTAGTCTGATCATTAAAACCAATGTATACCGATGTATACCAAATACCGATATATAAAACTATACAGTATATTTTTATATATAGTTGTATATATGCATATATAGTGTATATATATGTATGTA